ACATTATTAACTTAAAATTAACATTACTCGGCTCTACAAGATTACAAAGTATATAACGATTAAATTTTTAGTCTACAGTAAAATACGCGCATTCATATTTATAAATGACTATACATACTCGTATCATAGATATAATTTGTCTACTATTTCTAATTTGGTCACCAATTCAATATCTAAAAATATTCCATTCAAAAATCCTAAGCAATCATTCATATTAGTCGCACGTGTAATATCTTCAAGGTAAATGTAGAAAAGTAGATCAACAGATTAATTCTGAACTTAATGATACCAATTTTTATGAATTGAATGCAGAGTCTGAAATATATGAAATACGCTTGATTTATCATATAATTTGTAAAAATAGAGATTGATGGATACGTCAAACGAAATCGATTTTTTAAATTTAATACCTGTGTCAATAAATAATACAAGTGGTTTGAGGTCGTAGAAATAACATAACCTCGTAAGTGCAAGATAAGAGCGTACCAATTCTTAAAAGGCCGGCAACGCAGTCGCGATCCCTCTGGCAATGAGTTCCCATGGTTGGCGCTATAACTTAACATCCAGTGAGCCTCTTGCCCGTTCGCCCCTGTTCAATAATACACTAGTATTTTTTTCAAGTTAGTTAAATATTCATTCGGTTTTTTTCTAAAATTAATTTTCATTGATCTCGGTGACTTTTAGTAAAATTTCTTGTCCAATTCAATTCACGGTCGATTTCCTCTCATCTCCAGAGATTTAACTTTCTTAAATCTTAATATATTACAGACGAACTGTCAAAGTTTCTTCTTAAATAAATTTTGTATGTTATATATTTTGTATGAGTTTTTCCTGGAATACAAATACATATATTATTATTTGTAATTAGAAAAAAACTTTTACAAATAAAACTTTGAAAAATACATTATTCTTTTTTAGGAACAGGAAAATAAATATATGTATAGTAGAAAACATGCTATATTACGAGAGTAACAGTTTTGTAAGACAAAAACGTATTAATCTTGTAAATAAGACTTTGGGCGTATTGATTATATGTAGATTGTTACAAATTTCTGCGTTAAAGTCATTTTATTAGTTGTATTATTTTTGATGAAACAATGAAAAATTTCTAATTACCACAAAGAATATGAACCCCAGGAGTATAAGTTAACTATTCCTCACGTACATATTAAATAATGCAATAATAGAAACGTAATTAGAAACCACATAAATTGTTTATTACCCGGAAAATCCGGGAAAAAATTGTTTTATTATATCTCATTGTAAATCAAATTTGAAACAAAAAATGCGTGTCTCCACATATTACAGTCCCTGTTTGTATGACATTATAATTGTAAATGTAAAAATATGTATGAAAATCCTTAAAATTCTGTTCTGTTTTCACTTTGCGTTCACCTTATTCATTTATTATTAACAGGGTACGTCTAGTGTGCTTTCAAAGACCTTTATGTAATCCTATATAAATGAAAGATCACATATTCTATACAAAGAACATCATAAAGAGATTACATATTCTCTATACCTTAGGGATCTTACAATTACTTGTTACTACAGTGATAAACAACTAATATACTAACAATATGCTGGATTACTAAAAAAAAATACATATTACATATGACGAACCAATATTGTCATTCAAATAGTTTAGGTATTAATATATATTTTATTTAGGCGTTATATAGTCATCTGGATATGCTATATAATTGTATAGTTATGAAAAAACGGTTAACTCTGATATTAACCTCTGATTGAGCATCGATGTTTCAAAATATCATACCCACTCAATCATTTAAAATAATAGCGAAGATATTTCAGGAATATTTTGATTATTTCTCTCTGATGCAAGACGACTAATTTGAATATGAAAATGTACTGAATGCCACACATTTAAATAACTTATTTGAAAATAATTGATATCATCCGTTAATTGTTATTAAGAACGATGTTTGTACCACGCAGGTATATTTCATCTCTTGTATAACAAAAAAGTTTGTTTATTAAAAAACTTGGCACGCAAATTAAACACGAAGGAGTTTTTGAGATTTACCTCACTCATGTTCAAAGCTTTACGCAGCTTAATGTACAACGTATAGAATTTAAGTTTTGTGTAAATTTGGTTATGGACTCCTTTTGATTATTTTTATTGTGTGCATAGTATTGATCGATTTAGCTGAGTTAGAAATATTGAGCCTTGAAATAGGACTTGCTGGGGCCGATGTCCAGTAGACATTAACGTATCAGTTAGTTTGATTACACTGTTTTAACTGAAATACTGATAAACACATTTTGACAGAGGATAAAAGGGTCAGTAAACGGCCTCTTCATGTTAGTTCTATGTGTAGGTCTTCTAAAGGACCGGCCGGTAGTTGACTTCCAAAACGGGTTATAAATTTATATTTAAATCACTGCAAAAGTTTTAATACACAGTAGAAAGATTACTATTTTACATTTGTGCTGAAAAACCAAAGATACATTTATTAATTTGATTATACCTCACTTTAATATTCACCGTCACTTAACCCCCACTAATGAAAAAGCCTTTTATTCCTGTCGCCTTTCAAATTGAAATATACTTTTATTATGACTAAGTGCAATCCAAGGCTGTAAGCAACGGTTTAATTATACAATACTCGAAGAAAATTCATTCCAATATGGATAAAGCAATTACGGTAATTCTTCAAATAAACACGTATTAAGGAGATTATTTACCTTATAGGTTGATTATTTAAAAAAATGGTGCGTGTATTTATGTACGCGCGTAAGAAGTTATACTTCTTTGGCATTATTAAAAATAGTTTTTGATTATATGCAAATAATTAATTACAATTAAATAATCAAAGACTGGAAAAGGAGTCATTGTAGTCAATAAAGTTCAGTTTACATTTGAAAAATTAAATAAATAAATATTAATTATTATTCTCTAACATTAAGTGTAACATAAATTCTATTATTATTCGAATGTTGTTTTTAAATTATGTCCAATGCCGTAGCATCTTCCGTGGGCAACTTCATTCTGTTAATTTTGTGTCACGGTGCGCGCGCATCGTAAAATTTCACTTTACACACAACTAAATCAGTGGGATTTCTTTGTATTTTTCAAAACCATAACACTCCTTTAATGTAGAATATTAATAAATGATTTAGTAAATAATTTAAGGAAATACCTTATTTTATACAACTATTAAAACCACTAATTACGAGTACCCCTATACTTCGCATACAAACAGTCGAAACTTTAAAGTACCTTGATAAGTTAACACAATTACAAAATTGTGCTCAGGACTGGTGCAACTTTTAATCAGGGTGCGATACTGATCTCGACGTGTTTGTTTTCGATGTAAAGTAAATTTCCTAATATCGAACCACTGATGGCACAACCGATGGTACCAAAACATAACATTGTAATCGGGAATCGCTATCACCCTTGGAAGTTTCATTAGTCATGGGCATATATTCTGTTTTTCTTAAAATCTTGATAATTTTACGATATTTTTAATTAATGTGAATATAAAATGCTAAACATGACGTTGAAGCTGTATCATAAAACTATATGTTGAAAATGAATGCAGGTATAAAATCTATAATAAACTAGCTGACCGGGCAAACGTCGTTTTGCCATATATATCATTTATAATAAAAAAATAGGGGTTGATCGTAGAGGGGTGAATGTTAGGGGTTTGTATGTATTTTTTAATGCTGTATCATAAAAAAATAAAAACAGAAAAAAATATTTAGGGGTGGACTACCCTTAACATTTAGGGGGATGAAAAATAGATGTTGTCCGATTCTCAGACATACCCAATATGCACACAAAATTTCATGAGAATCGGTCGAGCCGTTTTGGAGGAGTATGGCAACGAAAACTGTGACACGAGAATTTTATATATTAGATTTAAATACAGGCATTCTATAATGAAATTTCTTTTCAAAAAAGTGTCTACACAAAGATATTTAAAAACACATTAAATGACTACCTTTTAACAGTTATTTATGTTATTTATGTTGAGTTTGATAAATTGTCCCTCAATTTATCACTGAACATTGTCACGAGGACTTGCAACTCGTGTAAATGATGCGTGAACACACTGCACTCGGAGTATATGCACCTGTCAATATTGTGTATTGAAAACATTGTACATATATATCACATTTTTATATATATATACGTTTTTTAATGTAATTATTTTACGTTACAAATTAGTTATTCAAAAAAATAATGCCGCTAGAGTTAGGAGTAGTCCGCGCCTCGATTTTTCGCGACTTATTTTTAAGCTGTTTTATAATAGATGTTATAATTTTTGGTGCTTTAATAAACCGATTGATAGAGCAGCAATTATGTTATTTACGTTGAGAACTTGAATAATCTATAGATATGATTTTAGTATATTCAAAAGCAATATTTAAGAATCTTGGACAGATCCTTCTTTTTTACTAGGCTTTGTTCTTGCACAAAAAAGCCTTAAATATCAAGCACACATTACGGCAATCTTACAAGAAGCAAGCGTCGTAGCTTATAGCAATTTCAGTGTAGCAATATGCTACGAAATCGTAGAGGCCGTGTACTGAGGCCAATATGGTTCACAAACTAAAACAAATAAGATTATTGTGATGTGGACTTGTAATACAAATAGATTAGGATATTTCAGAAGTTTCCCTGCTCGGTTGTGAGGTGATATAACCACCATCCAATATGTTTAATAATCTACTATGTGCTTGCCAATAAATAAGTTTAGTAAAACCATCTATTTCCTATTCCTAGCTAATGTTAATGACTCGCGCCAGATTTCTCATGGAAATATTGTCCTTTTCTTACCTCTAAACTAATTTTGACAATTGCAAAAATGTAATAAGTTTACGCGAATTAAATTATTTCGTTATTGTTATGTCACTGAACTTTACCTAGACCACTTGATGAAATTTACTGGTAAAACCATAGGTTTGTTAAATTTATATTACAAATAGACCCAATGTTGGAGCTGTCTATTTTTTTTACAGAAACAATGCTTCGAGCCAGCAGAGTTGTGGTGTTTGCCGTGGTCACGTTAGTTGTCTGCTGCAATGCCGACCCTCGTCAGGTAGGAACAAAATTGTTGTTTAACAGAAACCAAGTTATTACCATGATAAGAATTCCATGGACTTCAACATTTCCATTGTCTGACAGATTGGGGTTTATACGCGTAATTCAGAGCGTACTAAGAAACCACACCTTGTAATTAAGATATCTTAGCCGTCTTTATTTTATAATAATTAAAAATCATATAATGAGTAATGAATTGTTAGGCGATGGATATTTGAAATAAAATCACGTTTTCCGTTAGTTATAATTTTGAAAATTTTATCGAGGGCTTACGAAAATTACATTTCTTAATTGGAAAATGTTAATTGGGCGAATAATTTAGTCTTTACTTATAATTGCTAGCTCTGTTTTTGAGACATTTTGATAACGAACTAAATTTCCAATCAAATTCATAATTTACTGATAATGGTCCGAGGAAGGCCCACCAAGATAGACAGTATGTTAGAGTATGATGTGCAAATACTATCTAAAGTATTTTAAAATTCTTCCTATTCTTCTAGTTCCGATTGTGAAAAATTATTAGAACAAAGAAAACCTTTTGAAGTATGCCAAGCATAGAGCTACTTGTGGGCGCATCACGATTTTCTCATATCCAAGTATTTACGGATTGAACTCTTATTGACTCTAAGAAAGCAAATAAAATATGTTATTACAAAAGGTTTCATAGATGCCACATATTTTATGAATACTTTTGTAAATCTACAAATATATAAAATATCCTTAACACATACGTAGAATATATTTTAACAAACAATACATACATTTTTAATACAGAATTTTTGTGACATATTTATTATTTAACAGGAGCAAGAAGAGCACAACGCAGCTGATCGTTACGACAATGGTGAGATTCTAGTTAACTTAAAATACGGCACAGTTACCCGAGCACCTTATGGTACTTTTCACAGCAATTTGGTACTTCATTCACTTAACCTAATAAAGCCACTTAGTGTTCTCCTTTAACCCCCGTGCACAGTATCTTAAAGTCTTCACAATAATTGACTTTTTGCACATTTTCACAATTCACGACTCTTGGTGATGGATTCGCACAGTTTTTAACGCACAAGCTTTTTGGGCACATTAATGGTAAGTACATATATATTGCTTTGCTTTACAAAAATATAACGATTATTTCAATAGCTATTATTTCTTACAGAGATAAGAGAAAGACAGGAATTGGAAAGATTTCTACATTTTATATTACAATCGCAAATGAGGAATGGATATGAACGGAATCTGGATGGGATCGGAGGCGCTTTATTAGGCCGAAGTCTTGGAAATGGAAGAATTAGTGATGGACTTGGTGGCAGTAGCCTTTTGGGAAGAAGCCTTACGGGTGGTAAAAATTTGGACAACTTAGGTGGTTCAACTCTACTTGGTAGAAGTATTGACAATGAACATTACGCACGATTTGTTGATTCTCTTGGTGGCGGGAATTTCGTCCGTACCCTGGACTCCATTGGAGGAGGAAATTTGGTACGAAATCTGGATTCTATCGGTGGGGGTAACCTGGTAAAGAAGAACTTAGATGCTATAGGTGGACCGAATCTAGTTAAACGGCACGTTGACTCTCTTGGTGGAGGTAACTTCGTACGTAACTTAGATTCTATCGGAGGGGGAAACTTTGTCCGTGAGCTTGATTCCATAGGAGGTGGTAACTTAGTGTGAATATACAATTATCATTTTATTAGTGATATCATCTGCAAGCTGTAATTATCAATTTGTTTTAATGTATGTGATTCTGATTAAAAAATAAATACGCATAAAACTTATTTTTCTGACCCTTTCCCTATCTTAGAACCAATTTCCCTTCCCAAAGAACATTATGTAAAACCTTTTAGAAACATATCCTTTAAGCCTTTCTCGTAAAGCGTTTTAACATAAGGATATATTAAGTTTTAAAACAGGTAAGTATAAGATGGAATCATATTTACGGCTTGTAAATTATATTCTATACTCCGTTTATTAATATAGGTAACAAACCTCAAAACCTCGAGTCTATAGGACACAATTTGGTGAGGCAAGTCCGCGAAGCTCATCGCATGTCACATTTGGGAAGACGATATGAATATCTAAGGTACTAACAATACTACATAATAGCTTCATTTTTTGATAAACCTTAGTCAATGTCATATAAATATAGAAACATTTGTTAAAGTTAAGTGCCTTATTACATCAGAAATATATTTATTAATATACAACTACCAGAGACATAGTCGACATCATAGGAGACCGAAGAGCTGGCAGCTACCTCGGACAAAGAATTAGTCTAGCTATTCAAAGGGGGAACGCTGCCAGTATCTTCGGAACCTTGCCTAAAAGGACTCCTTGTAATAATATATTTTAGTTATTGTATTGTATTTTTTAAGGTTATGAAGTAGGTATTACTTTGATATTCTGTAATTTGGTTGTAATATAGAAACAGTTAATTGACTTCAACCATTTCATTTCATACATGTGATTTTTTTAAACTACATGACTTTATTAACATCTACTAAATAAAAATCTATTATTTTTTAGTCCACTTGGTAGGAATCTGGTTGCGCCATTCGAATACGCATACGGCTATTACGGAGATGGTCTGCCAAAACGAAACTTTGATGAAATCGACCGGTGAGTACTATTTATAATCAATTGTATCGTTTATATATCAGAAGTTTTATATACTTATTAAATCGTCATTAATAAAATATTATTCTAATTACCAAAATTTTATTCCTCGACCTTCTACTTGATATGAGTTTTTTATAGTATAGTATTCGCAGGGCCTTCTTTATTATACCTATGTTACAGCCTATTAACATATATATTCCATTATTCATAAAAAAATCCTTAGTACTTGAATGTTTTATCGCACACTTAAAGAAGTTAAAGAAAAACCAAAAACTTTCTTATTTTGACTTATATCGATGAAATAAATTAAGAGTTACGTGTTTCATAGCCCTAAAATCGACCAATACCCCAAATGGGGTTCATATTAACCTAAAGGCATTTTAAACCTCTTTATTTTCTGTTTACTGTCTTATCTGTCCCTTGGAAAAGCTTTACAAACTTCTAACAAGCTTAAACTTTGGTCAATACTATTGGGTAAGACAAAATAATGGTCGTGCTTATGAATTTGAAATGATCTTAGTAAATTTGCGAGACATATAGCACACAGGGGAAATCCGTTTGTTTAGTCCGTCACACGATTTCAACTTTGTATAAGTTGTTTGTAGTTTTAAACAGCGAACTGCTTGTACAAACTTTGATTAAATATTAATAATGTTACGTAATAATTTATTCTTTTAGTATTTATTTATAATTTAACTAGCATTCACTAATTCATAACTAACAATTTAATCTTAACATAAAAATAAATAAATAAAATTTGTAAAATATTTTAGAAAGGTTGCACCTTTAATGCTGGCAGCATTTCCTTATTGTGTTGTCTTTTAATTACATATATCTTTTATTAAATTAATCCTTGGTGGTAACTACACATTTGAATAAAACTTATTAAACGCCTACAATTATAGAAATTTACAAACAATTCGTAAATAATAAGTACGCGCCTATAGATGGTGTTAATATGACAAAATTTCAACTTGATCTGGAAGTCGCTCGCTGTCGGAAGCACTAAAAACATCGAATATGTATTTACATTATGTATAACAATTTATTTTATTATATATTTACAATAATTAAATTCACGTTTAAAATTCATTTCCAAGAGGCCTATTTTGTTAAAAGAATTTATGAAAGAAAACTTTAAGCAAACTTTTGAAGAATCTTCTAAAAGCACTTTTGGCATTAATTTTTATAGTTACTGTGGACTTAGAAAGTTTGTTCTATAAAGGGCAGCGAATAATATTCGTTTGTTGATATTTAAAAAAAGTTATATACGAAATTCTTTTATATTGTGTTATGAAGTAGTTGATGGAACGTCAATGGTTCAAACAACTCTGACTAATGACTAACTAAACTACTAACTACTACTTACTACTTTTCCTACGTTTTCTTGCTTTCACAACAAAGACTCGCGTGCATTAGTAATATGTATATATAAAAATACTTCGTATTTTTGGAACCGGTGCCGCATGGAGCTGTATGCCTAATGCTGTTCAAAGCCTTTTATTTTCGCCAGGATCGAACCCTGGATCTTCTGGTGATTTGTCATAAACTAACGATTTCAACTTATTCAGATCAAACTTGAACACATTTGTGAAGAAGCGAAACTTCGACGAGATAGACCAGTCATCCATGCCCTTCCCATTCAAGAGATTCTACCCTCTCATGGGACTTAACTACTTGGACGTCCCAGTGTAAGAATTAAGTTACTTTTATAAAATTACTACTATTATTAAGGCAGCCTTAGTGGTTTAGCACGTTGGTCTACTGATTAAGAGGTCTCGTATTCATATAAAAAAATCATACATTAATTCATGCAATAACCAACAAACCCCTGTTTCGCATGCTTTAAATAAACAGATGTAAAATTATGCTGTGATATATTTAAAATATAAAAACATTATTTCATAAATTCAATCATCAAAACTAATGACTAATATTACCCCGATTCCATTTTTCTCAACTCTCAAAGTTATTTCAACTCCAATGTTAATATTTAATTAGAAATAAGATATGAAAACTTAGATCACAGCTTGTGAAACTTTCGAGAACAAGTTCTTTTGATATTGGTATCAAAGCAAAGTTAAAAGCCACATTTATTAGTGAAAATTGGAGTAAAGCCATCACACCCACTTTGTATAAGCGGATTATCCTTTTCAAACAATGACGTGAGCGTATTAAAATCTTTACTTCCGTCTTGATTTAAATATTTGTATATTAAAGCAATTTCGTCTTAGTCACACTCTTTTTTCAGTGAACATAACATAACATTTTTGAAATTTTCCAGTCTGAAGTTTTATTTAGCGTGAACAGTAATTAATTTTACCATGACTTCTCATTTTGTGCGTAACCACTGAGGCTGGACCTTAGCGCTTAACACTTTGTCAAACTTATGGTATAAGTTTACATTGTACGCTATAACTCGTGATTGTCTTTTTAGCGCCAAATCAAAATTACCAATGACAGCTACTGTCATCAATTTGTGTTTCTATATAGTTTCTGTAAATTGTCGGTGTACACAGATACAAGAAAATTCACAGATTATACACATATAAGTCAGATATTTACCTGGACAATAACGCACAAAGATTTAATTTAGATAATATTTTCAGCTCAAGCCTAGACAAGAAGCGCTACAGACCCGATTACCCTATGGACGAAATTGACTTCTCACAGTTCCCAATTGGTTCTAAAAGATCGGAAAATACCCACTCTCTACGATAATAAGTATGCAGTAAACATCTCGAAAGGCTCAATCGCTATGTATTAAAAAATTTGTCTCGCTTTCTTCGAAAACTTTGACACGATATAAACTTTCCTTCTTTTTATGTTTACTAAAAACTTCGTAAACATAATTGTTAATTGGTTAAATTTATATTTATGAATAACGTTGTGTATTCTATATTAGATATATTTTTAATCTGTAATTTTATTAGAAGCAAATTAAACGCTTTTAAAATATTTATCCTTGTAAGAAATTGTATGTTAGTTAAATGTTGTTATACATATTGCATAGGTATATTTATTTATTGTAAAATAAGGAGAGAGACACTATTATAGTCCTAAAATCTTAAATATACCTAACTAGTGTAAATATATTTTACAAATTAACTTCAAAACCCAAAAATATGTGAATGATATTATTTCATTAAATAAACCTTCATTTAAGTATATAATGGCTTTTATTGAAATCACTTTCACAGCAAATATCAGTACTAATTTTATTTATCTATTACTAGTACTGAAACTTAGAAACGAAATTTAAAATAACATAAACAATTATCTCTAGTCTAGCCTTCGGCAAAGGCATCATTCAAATGTCGAAATTTCCATCTTACTCAAGTTAACCTGGGCCATTCTCATCCTGGATCTTATTATTATGATAGGATAAATATTCAAAACCCTTATTAACCTCTACATAGTATAAATTAAGGTAGCTTATACTCGTAAGCACTATGCACAAGAGTTCACTACGTTTTAGATATTCAAATTCAAAATATGTTATGGTTATATAATTAATAAACTTATACGTTTTACTTACGATGGTCTCTAAAATTGTATATTATCTATACCAAAACCTTTGACAAAATAGCTTCATCTAAATATATTTTAAAATAAGGCGCGTAGGCAATTAAGTTAAATTCATAATTCATCCAAATAGGTTCATTGCGGTCGATATTTGTATTTTAGGACAAAAGCTTTATATAACAAAGATTTTTTAATATTATTTCGTTGTTAGAATAAAGCTACCAGACAAATTCTCAAAATAACAAGGCAGTATACAAAATACCGTCCGTATCACCTCGACGTCCGTCGTTCTACAACTGAGCGTTATTTAAGGCAATTTTTAACGCGCACCACCTCTATGGGGAACCAGCTGCCCCCTGAATTCCGTACCAATTCGACTAAGGGTTCTTCAAGAAAAGAGCGTACCAATTCTTAAAAGGCCGACGCGCTTGCAAGCCTTCTGGCAGTGTGAGTGTCCATGGGCGGCGGTATCACTTTACATCAGATGAGCCTCCTGCCCGTTTGCCTCCTGTAACAAAAAAAACCATGAAAATACCTAAACTAAAAATTAATTAACTAAGATTTAATCTTCATTGTAATAATTTTTTTGAACATCATATTATTTTACGAGATTAAGCTATCGCATGACCTGTTTGCGGCTTTATTGAAAAAACGGAAATGAAAACTGTTCATTGAAGCGCCCACTTCTCCCAAAGGTAAACTAAAACAATACAATTACCAATTTTCCGGCCCCAATATTTATTTACCATTCCATACTTTTGGGCACAAACGGAACTAATTAAATAATATAGCTTTTCTTTATCAAAGGCTTGTAATATGATAATTTTCTCTTAGTTACGCAGTGAAATTTTCTCGCGTAAAGAACATTTAAATTTAATTTTGGTAGGCGAAACATTGGACTTAAATTACTATTAAAGCTCACTTCATACAGTAAGATTTTAAAGTAAAGCTTTTCATGCACTGTGGTCTTCACTATCAAGTGAACTAACTAACCAAAAATTGAAATAAGTCAAATACGTAAGTAAGTGTCCATATGCGGTATTAGTCAAACTTCCTCCCGTTTACCCTCTGCCCTGCGATTCTGTAACTCACTTTTCGAACTCACACAGCGTTTTTCGCATCGGCGGTCGCTCTGAAATCAGTCGTGAAGTAGTCATTTCATGATTTGGCATTCTAATCTATATATATAAAAATGAAACCCGTTTTCCGTTGTCACGACATAACATGAAAACGGCTAGACCGATTTGTCTGATTCTTTTTTTATAAAATTCCTTGAAGTACGAGGATGGTTCTTACGGAGAGAAAAATTAAAAAAATTGAGTGAAAAAGTCTAAAAACAACACTTTTCTATATTCCCATACAAAATATTCGTAATAATATTTAAAGGCAATTTGAACTTTAATACCATATCATAAAGTTCAAGTGTTAGTGGAGGGGTTCCGGGAAGGTAAATTTTTATTTTTTGACATAATGTATTTGTTGTATTATCACCTTTTTTTTTAATCTTACTAGCTAGACCGGTGTCCCGAATAGCAGAATAAGTATTTAAAAGAAATAAAGAATCGACTGTTAGGCGGTACGATGTTCGCCAGGCCAGCTAGTAAACAATAAACTACAAGCTGTGGGAGCTTTCTTCACTTTATGATTTGACATTCTTTTCAGAATGTCAAATCATAAAATGACTGCTTCACGACTGATTTGAGAGCGACCGCCGATGCGAAAACCGCTGTGTGAGTTCGAAAAGTGAGTTACAGAATCGGAGGGCTGTTCTCTAAAAAACGTGATACTATTAGAGAAGTATACGAATAGATTATATAATTCGAAGCCTTAAAAAAGTTACAGTTGTTACACACTCAAAAAAGGTAATGTGGAAATGGGCCGGTCACATTGCCCACGTTGATCATGCCAGATTGGTCAAAAATACCTTTATTTGGAATGGACCAGTGGAAAGAAAAACAGAAGACGCCCTCAATAAACCTTGAAAAATTAAATAAAAGAGATAGCGGGGAAAGATTAGAAAATGGTAGCGAAGATGAGAGAATAAAGGTCTTACACTAATTTTAAATATAATAATAAAATAAAAATAAAGTAATCCTTATAGTACCCGAATTTAGGCTATTTTTATTTTATTTATACATTATTTAGTTTCTTATTACGTCCCGCAAGGGAAAAGTGCAAAGCAAATCTTCACAAGCTAACTTGTAGTCTATAATATGAAAATACTCACATACATGTATGATTGGATATACTGTAAAGGATTATATATGTAGTGTGTCACGTCGGTATGTGAAGCGTCGTGATGAGAAGCGCTTTCAGCTAATTAAAGTTCGTGCCGATAGTGCAATTATATCGGCAAATAGCTGCTTTGTGTTAGTAACACTCGATATTAAGTTTGAAAACAGTAGTCTGTGCATATACATGATTATTTTTATGTCCTTTATGTAGATCTGTACTCCCCGGACCATGAGGCAGATATATGTTTATTAAATATTTCGTTTGTTATGTACATTGTACCTACATATGTAGAGTTTTGTCTTTTTGCCTGACATTGTATTTGTTTCACTACTAACACTTCTCTTTCTATGACACATGAAATATTTTTTTGTACACGCTTATTTAAAAGAAAGTCTAGGTAAAAGCTATTGTATTAAAATGACAAAATCACCCAACTTTAACTATGCTTTAATATATTAATCGTTACAACTAAAATTAAATTATTGTAAAATTCCACAAAACAATTATATATTTAATTAATATTATATCCTTAGGATATTTTGTTTCGCCGCTTAAATGTTAATTAAAATCACCATTTTCAATGCGGTAAGATTACAAATAAATTATAGGGACAACTGTTATTAGGGAGATTTAAAATTGTTACCAAATTTAATTTAAATAAAGAATACATACATTTTATTTCTCTTCGATTTTTGCCTCAATAACATAGACAATATTCTAAAAACCTTTTCACGCTTATCTAGTCATTAAATTCGTTTTTCATCTATGGATTTTTGTTAAATTTTTACAGGAAAACATTTAAGTTTAAACTTTTTTTTTTAAATACAGCAGAAATTTGACTCTCGATTTAAAATGGAATAATTACAAAAACATTCCGAGAATTCATTTGAATCTTTTGAACATCCATTGCCTGTTATTGGATGTTTGTTAAATATATATAAAACGTTTTTTCTAAGAGATTTAATAGATATCTATTATCTACATTATGAAGTGGCTTCAATTTCGTGTATAAGAAGGCAAAATGGTCTTATGTACATTTTCTAGAACGTGTTTCGCAGCTTACCTATATATTACTACATATATTCTTGCTTGGAGATACTAGTTTAACTAAGGCAAAGTTATACGTAAAAAAAAAACGTTGCGGTGTATAGTTGAATAAATGTTTGCGGACTGTAACCGCAAATAATACAAGTACAAAATTTTATTATTATGCTGTTTTTATCTATATATTATTTATATTGATTTATAGATACTTTTTAAATATAAATTATGTTGTAGCTTTTACTAAGAACGATTATATAATTCTATAAGTTAGTTAAATCATATAGTGTATACCCGGTTTACTATTAACTGAACTCACTCAAGCAATAGGTCCATATCGGAGAATTGATTGAAAATCCTTACAAACAAAGCCATGGTTTAGATGAATGTCTATTTATTGAAACTGCTATTTTGTGATATTGGGCAATTTTCCGTATTCAATCACTCTTTGTATAGGGTTAGTCTTGTGGCTAACAGTGCGATAATCAACCAAGAGGTTGTGCGTTTGAGTCCCTTCTTAGCACAAATATTTGTGCTTAACTTGTTTAAAGTTTTCTTGTGGGTTAAGTCAATAAACTATGTTTTCTATTTGCGCAATTCATGGATCTAGGCATATAGAAATATTGAACCTTTAATAAATTTATTATTAACAAAATATCGAATATAATCTTTAAAATTACTACATTGACCAAACTATAAAAAAGTATTCATGATATTCGTTTCTTTATTTGTTTCTTCTTATATTTTATATTTACCTACTTATACAAACTTAAAGTCGACTCTAAAGACTGCCGGGTTTTTGCCGACACGAACTGTCATTTTCATACAAATTTAGTTTTCGACTCTCTACATACACACTACTGTTAAGGCATCTCGAATAGCCCCTTGTACCTCGACACTTGGCAAAGGCGTCAATAACA